GGCACTTCACAACTTCGGAATTTCGGAACTTCTCTTGCAGCCGCTTGGTAGATAACTCCCTAATTCCCACGGTATTAGGGAGTTATCTACCAAAAGGCTGAAAGACCAATTAAGTAATTTAAAAATTACTTAGTATTAGTAAATTGTGCCCCAACTCGCTATACCACGAGTAGGGGCATGTCTATTAAACTGCTCACTGTTAAAAAAAAAAAAAGGGTGACTATTGCTCCCCTGGTCCCCACCCCTGAGCGGCGGGTGAGGGCCCTAAATTAGAATAAGGGGGTGGACCTATTGCCCCCCCAGCCCCCACCCTTGAGCGGTGGGTGGGGGCCCTAAATTAGAATGAGGGGGGACCTAATGTCATGGCCCCCCTGGCCTCCACCCCTGAGCGGTGGGTGGGGGCCCTAAAAACTAATTAGGCGGGACCTAATGTCCTGGTCCCCCCTGGCCCCCACCCCTGAGCGGTGGGAAGGGGCCCTAAAAACTAATTAGGTGGGACCTAATGTCCTTCCCCCTGGCCCCCACCCCTGAGCGGTTGGTGGGGGCCCTAAAAACTAATTAGGGGGGACCTAATGTCCTCCCCCTGGCCCCCACCCCTGAGCGGTGGGTGGGGGCCCTAAAAACTAATTATGGGGGGACCTAATGTCCTCCCCCTTGGCCCCCACCCCTGAGCGGCGGGTGGGGGCCCTAAATAAAAAATTAAACCCCCCTCCCCAGGTGATGAGGGGTCCCCAAGTCCCTAGTCACCCCCCTCCCAAAAAAATGAACCCCTACCTACCCCCCTCACCCTAAAAATAGTTAGGGGGGACCATTCGCTAAACCTGTTAAAAAATAAAATAAAACTTACCATTCAATGTCATCTCGGAAGAGGTACCGATGGCTGAAATCCAACATTTCCTGAGGCGCTTATTGGTAGCTTTACTTATCCCAAGGCAGGGCAAAATGGTGGGAATCAATGGATTCTTCAGAGTACCGAAGTCCCCATGTGCACCAGACAATGTGCCAAGAAACTTGGTCCTCCAGGTGCAAAGTGGTAAAGACAAAGCAGCAGTGCTGGCGGCAGTCAGAGACCACACGCCATATAAATTTGAAGACATGCCTCTCACGTTTTTCTCAGAACTGTCAGGGAGCACCCTAGCCTGGCAAAGATCGCAAAAGCCATTTACCACCCTACTGAGACAGCAGAAGATACCGTAGCAGTGGCAACTAGCCCGTGCCCTAATGATTTAACAGGGTGAGACCAAGCACCTGATCCACAACCTCTTGGAAGCAGCAGCCTTACTGCCCACACTCAACTTACCTCCAAACACCCTGACAACTCCCGGGGACGGGATACCAGCCAGGATGCAGCACCAGTGGAATTCAGACACTGCAATCCCTTTCACCCCTCGCTGGATGACTGTGGAAGGATATGCAGCAGCCACTACCTGATGAGGACATTGGGACTAACAACCATCACCTAATGCAGCCTTACAGTGCTCTTTAGAACTGTAGGGTTAAGTTAAAGTTTGATGTTATATATAGTTTAGCTAACTTAGTTTTTTTAATTATTCAGCGCACCACAAGAGTGAGTTCCCACATAATCTGCCCACATACAGATCGACTGACAGATGGATCCTACCTTTCCCCCCCCCCACCTTCATGTGAGTATGGGAGCTCAGTATTCATACCTGTATAACACGCAAGGCATCCCATATGTGAGTACAATTGCGCCCTAGCACAGTAGCAGCTTTCAATAGCTCTGAAATAAGACAAGAAACCCAAAAACAATCTAAGAGGTCAAGGCCTTGACACATTAGAGGTACTCAACGAGTACACAGAGGCAGTGGTGTATCCTGGTTTTGTGCTGCCCTAGGCAGGACAAAACTCAGACGCCCCCCTGCCCCCGCGCCACACCCACCCAGCCCTTCCTCCCGCCCCACATTCTAAATACACACAGTCAGACACAAACACACACACACACAGTCAGACACAGACATAAACACAGTCAGACACAAACACAGTCAGACACATACACAGACATAAACACAGTCAGACACAAACACACACATACACAGTCAGACACACACACACACTCACAAACACAGTCAGACACAAACACACACACACAGTCAGACACAAACACACACACACAGACACAAACACACACAGACACATACACACACACACACACAGTCAGACACATACACACACACAGTCAGACACATACACAGACACAGTCAGACACAAACACACATACACAAACACAGTCAGACACAAACATACACACACACACTCACAAACACAGTCAGACACAAACACACACACACTCACAAACACAGTCAGACACAAACACACACACAGTCAGACACAGACACACACACACACATTAACTTTTTTTAAAAATTTAAATCCCCCCCAACCTCCTTACCTTTGGGAGTGCTGGGGGGGGAGGTCTCTCTCTCCCTGGTGGTCCAGTGGCTGCCGGTCGGGCTGGGCGGCGCTGGCAGGCAGGCGGCTGGCGAGGGAGCTCTTCCTCTGAGCTGACTGCTCAGCTCCCTCGCGCGCCGGCTGCAGAGTGAGGCTGGGAGCCGGAAGATGACGTCATATTCCGGCTCCCAGCCTCACTCTGCGGTGCGCGAGGGAGCTAAGCAGAGCGCTCAGAGGAAGAGCTCCCTCGCCAGCCGCCCGCCCGCTCGGGATGTCTGTTAGCCGCAAGGCTAACTAGGCATCTGCCCTGGGCAGTTGGGGGGCGGCATTTTTTGCCGCCCCCTGAAAAATGCCGCCCAAGGCAAATGCCTTGTTTGCCTCGCGGCTAATACGCCCCTGCACAGAGGTACATACCATAATGAGATCTCGCCACCTCACATAGCTAGATACACATGATATCTCATCTAACTGATGTTAAATAAAATATAAAATTGTGCTGTGTTTCTGACTACCATGTTAATAACCCTTCATGATTGTTTTTATTCTGCTTGGTATAGCTATCGTGGCATATCAAGCCTGTTTGTTACCACTCGCACAATACAAATAAAGATTTTTATTTTTTTTAAAATACAGAATGTATCACTTCTTTACCAAAAACACCATTAACCCCTTAGTGACCAGGCCGCTTTTTAATTTTCTTACCGTTAAGGAGCAGCGCTGTTTTTACATTTCTGCGGTGTTTGTGTTGTGTTTTCCTCTTACTCATTTACTGGACCCACACATATTATATACTGTTTGTCTCGCCAATAAATGGTCTTTCTAAAGATACCATTATTTTCATCATATCATATAATTTACTATAAAAAAATGATAAAATATGATGAAATCTTTTTCAAAAACACACCTTTTCTAACTTTCACCCCAAATATCTGTTACGCATCTACAACCTCCAAATAACACCCATGCTAAATAGTTTCTAAATTTTGTCCTGAGTTTAGAAATACCCAATGTTAACATGTTCTTAGCTTTTTTTTTTGCAAGTTATAGGGCTATAAGTACAAGTAGGACATTGGGTTTCAAAATATATATTTTTAAAATGTATCAATAAATCTCTGAATCAACCTCACATGTACATATTTTTTTAAAAGTAGACAACCCAGAGTATTCAATATTGGGTATGTCCAGTCTTTTTTAGTAGCGACTTAGTCACAAACACTGGCCAAAGTTAGCATTTATATTTGTTTGTGTGTTAAAAATGCAAAAAACAATTATGAACGCTAACTTTGGCCAGTGTTTGTGACTAAGTGGCTACTAAAAAATATTGAGCATACCCCATTTGCAATACCTTGGATTGTCTTATTTTGCAAATGTTATGTCTTCAGGGGGTAATTCTCATTCCTGGGCTACCATACGCTCTCAAAGGCAACATAACCAATCTGGCAAATTTCAATGTGAAAATCAAGCCTTATATTTGACCCTGTAACTTTCAAAAACACTATAAAACCTGTACATGGGGAGCAGGGGCGTACCTAGAGCATTTGGCACCCGGGGCGGATCCTGTGCTTGGCTCCCCCTCCCCCTCCCCCCCACCCAAAAAAACCTGTAAAAAATGTTAAAAGTTTTCTTTCTTTTTTTTTTTTACAATTTGTAAACTTTGCAAAACCGCTGTCAGCCCCTCCTACAAAACCCTTGTCCTGCCCCACCCCTCCTACAAAACCTCTGTCCTGCCCCTTCTACAAATCCTGTACTGCCCCGTCTACAAAACCCCCGCAACCCCCTTCCACAAATCCCCTGCTTATCCCCCTTATAAAGACTCCTGTCCCAATACAAAACCCCCGCCCCCTTCTACAAAATCCCTGCAGCCCCACACACACATTTACAGGCAGACAGTCACACACTCAGTTACAGACAGACAGTCACACACTCAGTTACAGTTAGTCACACACAGTCACAGGCAGACAGTCACACATACACATTTCCTCCGTGCGGCCAGTTTATCAGCTGTTTGCTTGTGTGAGCTGTACTGGCCGCACGGCACCCTAACTACCATGGGACACTGTGCGGCCACAGCTCACACAGCCCCCTCCAGCCAGGGCTGGTGCAAGGATTTTTGCCGCCCTAGGCAAAAGTAAAGTATGCCGCCCCCCCCCATGTGACATCATAATGCCCCACCCATATGATTTGCCATGTTAACTAACGCCAGTGCTGCAGTGCCGCCGTGTTTACATTAAAAGGCCTGCAGGGACAGGCTATAGACACCAGAACCACTACATTAAGCTGAAGTGGTTCTGGGGACTATAGTGTTTCTTTAATGTGAGGTAAATTAGAGCTTAGTGCCACGAATAATATACTAGATTGCCTACTTACAACCAGATGAGGATGATGATGGGCTCTAGCTGCAGTCTGGCTCCACTGGTCTGGTGCAGAACAGGCTCTCTGGAGGCGGTTTGTAACTGTGGTCACAAAAATCAATGTTCTGGGAGAACGGGAAGCAGCTCCATTTTTTGGGGGTCCTTTACACAGCTCAAGGTCTGGGTCCCAGGGTCCACCTTCATGTTCCACCAATGAGTTTGTTCACAGGGGGTGGAGTGTGTAGGGGATGTCCTGATATGTGTGTAAGGAATGCATTGTGTGAAATTGTGTTTGTATGTGTAAGGGCTGCAAGGTGTGTTTCTGTGTATGTATGGGATGCATTGAATGTGTAAGGGGTGCATTGAGTGTGTGTAATGAATGCATTGTGTGTTTCTGTGTGTGTAAGGGATGCATTGTGTGTAACGGTTGCATTGCTTGTGTATGTGTGTCTGTGTGTGTAATGCATTGTGTGTTTTTCTGTGTGCAAGGGGTGCATTGTGTGTATGTGATGAATGTCAATCTCTCCTCCCGCTCCAATTTCCTTCTCCTCCTCCCAATTTCTCTTTCTCACCCCCTCCTAATTTCTCTCCCCCCCTAATTTCTCTTTCCCCCTCCTAATATCTCTTCCCCCCCCCTCCTAATTTCAATTTCTCTCCCCCTCCTAATTTATCTTTCTCACACCTCCTAATTTCTCTTTCCCCCCCCCTCCTAATTTCTCTTTCCCCCTAATTTCTCTCTCACCCCCCTCTCCTTTCTCTTTCTCACCCCCCCCTCTCCTTTCTCCTCTTTCTCACCCCCCTCTCCTTTCTCCTCTTTCTCACCCCCCTCCTTTCTCCTCTTTCTCACCCCCCCTCCTTTCTCTTCTTTCTCACCCCCCTCTCTCCTTCTCTTCTTTCCTCACCCCCCCTCCCTCCTTTCTCTTTCTCACCCCTCCCTTTGCTGTAGCTTGGCCGAGCTCTGTATAGTCCGCGGGTACAGGGAGCATCTGTTTCCTGTACCCGGCCGGACTAACAGGAAGTGCACACTCTGTGTGCACTTCCTGTTAGTCCGGCCGGGTACAGGAGACAGCTGCTCTCTGTACCCGTCGGACCATCATGCTGCAGGGCTCGGCCATGCTACAACAAAGGAAGCTGACAGGAGGGAGCGCTGAGCGCTTCCCTCCTGTCAGCCCCACTCCTCAGGCTGCGCCCAGGCGGTGCGGTCCGCCCTCATGGACGCACCGCCCAGGCAAAGCTGCAGCCGCCTGAGGCTCTCTACTGCCCCCCCCGCCCCCCTTAGTATGCCACTGATGGGGAGTACTGTTATACTTGTGTATAACAGTAAAATATCATCAGTGAACGTGCCGTTTGTGTGTGGACAATGCAAAAAAATTCACTTTCACTGACAATGTGATATGTATTACTGTTTTGAAACACTAATATTTGTGTTTAGCGAAGTCTCCCGATTAAAACAGTCTCCCCATGTACAGGTTTTAGGGTGTCTTGGAAACTTACAGGGTTAAATACAGTGCTAGCAAATTAAATTCTCTGGATTTTTTGCCTGGGTTGTCAGGCAGGTCCCTCAAATTGTAATTAATAAAATGACTTAATTATGTAAAAATATTATGTAAATATATTTGTAGAATTTAAATATATATATATATATATATATATATATATATATTAAAAAAAGTCATTCTAAATGTATTTTGATTTAAATATATATGTATATTAATATCCAAATAGAGTTAGAAAAAATGTAAACCAGAATATACTTTTTTCTATTTAATTTTTATTATTTTTTATTTTATTTTTTCAGTTTTTTCAATTTATTTATTTATTGTTTTTATTTATATATATATATATATATATATATATATATATATATATAATTAACATCATTCTAAGTGTATTTTAATATTAATATATATAGTTATATATACATATATATATTAATATTAAAATACACTTAGAATAATGGACTGTGTATGTGTATGTGCATATAAAAGTACTTAGATCATACATATATATATATATATATATATATATATATATATATATGATCTAAGTGCTTTTATTTACTTTCTTAAACTTTTTAACAACTTTTACTAACTTTTAAAACTTTTTTGCAGGCATGAGGGAAGCACCAAACACCAATCCTCTCTCTTAATATTTAGATTTAGATATTTTTCCCATTTTTGATAAAAATAACAGTAGGAACTTATAATTTTAATAATCCACTCGTAGCTTTTGAGGCTACTTTATGTACCTGTACATATTTAAACACTGTGCATATCATCTTAACACCCTCATGAGGGTTACAAATAATATTTTAGTTTATATAGTTTTTTTAGTCTTATATATGTAAATAATTTGTTATTTGATAAATGAAATTCCTGTATCAACTGTGGGAAGGGTTTAATTGTATAATTCTCCATTAGTTGGTCTTCTTGACTGATACTTTTTTGCAACCACCTGTTTAAGTTCAAATCTTTTACATAAAGTGGTATCAGTGCCATTTTAATATTTATGGGAAATATATTTTCTATGCCGCACTTCTTTTTTTTTTTTTTATTCAACAAAGGCTTTTTTTTTTTGTAAATCTGATTTTATTGCTGAAAAGTTCAATAAAAAAGGAGACATAGAGAATGAGACTCGCAGGCCTCCATGTAAAACGTTGTGGCATAACATATCATGCATTATACAGCAGTCCATAATATCCAACAAATTATTGCTATAGGTAACATTTGCGGCTTTAAGGTAATGCGTAATAAGATAAGCATAAGACATGACTAGTGTGTATGCGGTATGTAATTATATGGTATGAGGGTGTTTTCCCACTGGTCAGATTCGGGATGGAACCCTATATGTATCCATTGGTTACACTTCATGTTCTTATCGCGACCTCCTGTGTGATTGTATACACCGCATTTAGTCATCTAGTGTGGATCCCGTGTTCCTATGCCATGGATCAGTTAAATGGGGGGGGAGGTAATTGTAGTAGAAAGTAGAAATGAAAGGGGGAGAAAAGTTTCGTAGGCCTAGAAGAGTCCTTCCTTGGGTTCCACTTTTCCTCCTCGTATCGGAGTGGGTGAGTAGTCGGTATGTGGTGTTCGGGAATTATCTAGTCGTTTTGTGGTGGATCGTGCTGAGTGTGTAAGGTAATGTAGTTTAGACCGCTGTCAGGTTACTGTCTCCCGTTATAGGCATGTCAGGGGTCTGATCTAGTATGTTGTGTCAGTCCCCTGGTCGCCCGTCGGTGTGCTGTGTCCCGTAATTTACGTTGGGATTCCAGGTACGTGTTAACCGTCCGTGTGGTTATTGAGTGGGGTTATGTAACGCCGTGCTGACGTTCGTTCAGCGCGTGTGTGTCCTGTAAAAGGTCTACGTTAACAAGGGAGTGTGTGATTCCATGTGCTTTGTCTCCCCCCATGGGGGGGTCATGGCCAGTAATAGGAAGGATCTGGGATCCACCCACCAGCCCTCCACTCCTTATGTGCGTGATGGAGGCCCACTAACTACCCGCTTGATACGAGAACCAGGGTCGCCACGTCTCCGCGTGTCTTGTTGAACGCCCCGCCTGGGATGCCCGTAGCGCCTCCGCCGCTTGTATATCCCCAACCCTTTGGAGCCATTCTTCCGTAGTGGGGACTTCTGATCTCTTCCAATAGACGGGGATCAAGGATTTGGCCGCATTCAGTAAATGGCGTAGGATCTATCTCTTGTATCCAGGGATGGATTGCGAGGTGATATGTAATAGGGCCAGTTCTCGGGACCATTCTGTGTCGTCCCCCAGGATTGCCATTATCTCTGTGTGGATGCGATCCCAGTAGTGCGAGATAGCCCGACATTCCCACCACAGGTGTAACAAGGTGCCCCTTGCCTCCTGACATCTCCAGCATGTTGGGGATGCCTCCGGGAAAATCTTCTGTAATACGACTGGGGTCCTATATCACATGGAGATCAATTTATAGTTGACCTCCTGGTAGTAGGAACTTGAGGAACTTTTATGTTGCCATAGCAGAGCTGTTCCCCATTGTGTTGGTGTGATTTGTATCTCTAGTTGTGCTTCCCACCGCCTTTGAAAGGTATTATTATCCGAGGAGGCTCCTACCAACAAATGTTGGTAAAGGAGAGATACTGCCTTTTCAAGTTTGGTGCCTCGACGGCAGAGGCCCTCGAACCACGTAAGGTCCCTATGTAGCAGCTGTTTTTGAGGCAAGGAGTCGTAATAGTGTGTCAATTGTAGGTAGTGGAGGGTTAGTAGGGGCGTCTGTGGTCTGTCAGCCAGCAATGAGTTCAGGGGCCGTACGGCTCCCCCTTCCAGAATTGTGCAGAACGGGACATAGTCCCTTTCCCCCAGAAACGCCCAGGTCCCATATGGGAGTCCTCCTCCAATGTCGGGGTTATGGGTAACCGGGAGCATAGGGCTAGGGGTTGGGGAGACCTGTGCCATTCTTCTAGTTGGCTTCCACGTTTTCAATGTCTGTGCTAACGGGTTCCCGTCCTCTTCTTTCCCACAATGACCCGTCCCCTCTCGCCACACATCAGCCTTAAGTTTAGTCCCTGAGTCACCTCTGTCCAGGGTTACCCATTGTTTCGGGTTTTCGGCTGCGTGCCACTCCAGGATACGTTGCATTGTGGTAGCTTGGTGGTACTTTTTAAAATCCGGGAGTGACAGGCCTCCCCTGTATCTGGGTAAGCACAGCGTTTCATATTGTAGTCAGGATCTCTCCCCTCTCCAGACATATCGGATGACCACCGTTTTCAGAGTCGAGAAGAAGGTTGCCGGTAGTGATATTGGGATGGTTTGAAATAGATACAGGATCCGTGGTAGTACGTTCATCTTGAGGACCGCGATCCGTCCGTGCCAGGTGATGTGTGGATATGCCCAGCAATCAAGGTCTGATGTTATTTGTTGTAACATGGTGGTAAAATTGTGTCGATAAACGTCTTGCGGATCGGTGGTGATCCAAATGCCTAGGTATTTCATTTTCCCCTCGCACCAGCGGAATGGAAAAGCAGAGCTCAGTGTAGCATATTCATTCTGTGGGAGGGTGACATTAAGAACCTCACATTTCGTAAGGTTAAGCTTGAATCCCGAGATCCTTCCAAAGCGTTCAAATTCTAGGAGTAGACAGGGCATTGTGATTCGTGGGTTAGAGATGAAAAAGAGAAGGTCGTCCGCATAGGCAGCCACCTTGTGTTCTGACCCCTTCCAAATAAAACCGTGAATGTCCGGATTCTGTCTTATAGCCTGTAGAAGCGGTTCCAGGGTCATGGCAAACAGAAGAGGGGATAGGGGGCATCCCTGTCTGGTCCCGTTGTTAATATCCACGACATCATCTTACATCCCAATCCCATGGCCCTCAGCGTGTGCATCATGTACGACCAGTTGACCCTATCAAAGGCCTTTTCGGCGTCTGTAGAGAGCAGTAAGAGGGGTTCCCGTGAGATTCGCGCTCAGTGTTGTATGGAGAAAAGTCGTAGTGTACTGTCCCGAGCTTCTCGTCCAGGGATAAATC